CGTAGGAATGATCTCGGTAGTCTCATCGAAGGGACCCCGGTGGTTCATCAGCTCAACGAGTCAGATTGCAGTGCCTGGGCATAGACCCAATATTTTCCGTGTCAGGCAATCAGATTCATCTCGAAGCCATTGTTTTCTTGGTTTTTCGCGCTCGCACCGACACGTGGATCCAGGTGGCGCGCAACAACCAGGGAGACAGACGCTGATCCAATAGTCTTCTGATGGGCCTAGAACCTGTGTTGGAGGTTGATCCCCTCTGGATCCTGGGGGTCGACTCCACGGGCCCATTTGCTTTGTGGGTATGCGACACCTTTGTGGTGCCTCGTGGTGATGACGAGTCACTAGGGATTGAAGAGGCAAGTTGACTATCCTGACCGCTCCCTTCCTGTCAATTGAATGTGTCCCGATTTCATCACAAGAATTGGTTTGCCAGAGATGGGATGACCAACTCAATGCATTGTCCGTAGCGCCTGTTGTGCTTGCTTTGTGCAGGCCCGCTCCCACCTGTACTGTACTAGACAGAACAGTACAGTAGGTACCTATCTGGGCAAGGTAGAATACCTAGCATAGAATGGTGGCTTGATTGAATTAAAGGCCCAAGCAGCGGCGTCCAGGGTCCCGCTGATGGGCTTTCCGAGACAAGCTAGGGCTGCAAGTACATGTAGATGCAGGAACTCTCATTCGTCAAATGTTCCCCTTTATCGGCGCCGGCGCATGGGGGAGACATTAGAACAGGGGTAAACCGCGCGACGGCGCAAGGATCTCACGGGTAATTACCTGGCTAGACGGGAAGACCTGACCAGGTGGCAAGTACTAGACGTGTACTCGAGCCTTGTTGACGGATCTGCGTCTTTTGGGTGGAAGTGCACATCTTGGTCGGTTTGAAGTGATGCCTCGCATGACCTCGCATGATCACACCACCAAGATCCACACCAGGACGCTGCTGTTCCTTCTTCGACGTAGTGGAAGGTAAAGGACCGATGAGATCGACGCACTCTGCAGCAAGAGGTAATCGATGTCTATAGCGGATGACCATCTAGATGTGCGCAGGAGTCTCCTCACGCTTCGGGATCCCCTGAGCGGCAAAGAACATGCCCCTTTGGGCGCCGAGTCAATGTATTCCAGTGACACCGCCTGCCAGCAATAACACATGTGGTACCCCCCCCCCCCATTGCCCAAAACTAGAGAGCGAAGGGATCGTCGTGGCTGTTCATGGCCAGAACCCTCGCAC